CATTTATTTAAAAACACTTCTTTCTTCTTTCTTTCATTTAAAAACTGAAACGTGGTAATTATTAATTGTAGACGGGGTTATGTTTGTACACGAAAGATGGAAAGTAATTTGCGAAATTAACTTCTTTGTGTAAAAAAAGCAAGTGAATTTTTATAGCACAAGTCTGAAATAAATAACAGTGACAAGAAAATACTCTGTTGGTTTGGAATATCACTTGACAGTGTAACTGATAAGCTGCAAAAGCCTTGATAATTGCCACGTACGGGCGGAAGTAATTAATGCTTCCTCCTAATCAATGCTAATTCTGCTTGTGGCGGACGAATTTTACGAAACAAACGGATTCACTAAACCGATATATATATATATGTAGAGAGAACGTTAAACTTTTATAATGATGCAGTTAATCATCAACTCTCCACATATTTTTATAGTTTTTCTAATCAAGAATTTCGTCTCAAAAAGAAAAGAAATTATAAACCTGCAAATCTGTTGTAATCCATTTTATAATAATAAATATAGCATCATGAATATTGTTTCAAGAGCTTGAAATTTCACGAGTAGAATGTCACGTTAATACAATATTGGTTCTTGAGCAATAAATCAAAGTCCTCAGTCCCAATCGCTCCAAATTCTCAACCTCCGTTTCTCGCCAACACTCTCGACAACACGATCCCAACGATCCATCAAATCTTTCAAACTCACAAATCAACTGTCCGCGATTACAATATCTCGCCGGTGCGTTTCCTTTGCGAAGCAACTTCGACAACGAAGAAGTTTCTGTCGGTTCCCAGGCATGTCTCCATCGATCGCGTTTTTACAAACCGCTGTGAGTTACGGTGGATGGCATACTCGAACGAAGGGAACATCTGCAAGTACTCTTGTTGATGATATATTTATTATTATATGTAAAAGTTGATATATTCATTAATATATATATATATATATATATAATAAATTATGTAGTTGATATATTTATTAATATATATATAATAAATTATGTAGTTGATATATTTATTAATATATATATAATAAATTATATAGTTGATATATTTATTAATAAATTATATATAAAAGATGATATATTTATTAATATATATATATATATATATATATAAAAGTTGATGTTAAATTTATTATTCGTCAAAAAAAGAAAAAAAAAAACAAAAGTTGTACTACTTGGAAAACAAAGTTACACGTATCTAGGAATACATATATGTTTCACGAGCTATTCTAAAATTCGGCCAGAAAATAAATTGTGGAATTTAGATTTAAATATTATTTCATTTCCAAGTTGTTGCAATTCTTTTTTTTTTTTATATATATATATATGAGCAGTGACATATTCTCCAGTTAGTTAAACATAATATAATATATTAAAATTAATGGAATTATTATTATTTATCAACTGAACCGAAGACTGCTACTTTAATAACAAAAAACACAGCTCTTATCTCGTAAAATTTTACTGTATAATATACTTCGTATCAGTTTGAAACTTTTCAAATGGGACTTGAGCGACTTTTCAAAATAAAAATTTCTATCACACTAAGTAACCAGCTAATTTTTCCGTGCACAAAATCTTAGTGATTTTAAATTAGTTTAAATTTTTCAATTATTAATACTAGCTGCAGTTTACTTGGAAATGAAAGGATAACGTAGTGATGTAAATATTGAAAACAACCAGCTTGATATTTTTTTTTTTTTTTTTTTTTTTTTTTTGAAAATGGACACGGGGGCCACTTTCAAAATAAACGGCTCGCGTCTTAACTCGAGCAGAGCGATACGAGAGGAGAATCGTCGGATGCAAATCGCGAGACTCGCGAGCGACGACTGAAATCCGCGAGGAGAACGCGCGAAGAAAATTAATGGACGGGCTGTCGGTACAATAATTCAAGCCTCAGCCGTTGCCACGGCGAAGAAGAAACGAGACAAAGACAGGCTGATTGTCATTCAAACGGCACAAGCGACCGGTGACTGCCCTTGGCCACGCGGAAAGGCGACGCTTCGCAAACGAAACGCTTTAATGGCTGAAAGAGGAGACATAATTGTCGGCTCGGCTTCTCCCGGTGTCGTTAAACTTGTTGAGCTACTGTCCAGGGTCAATAATCCGACACATTCTCTACCGTCTAGCTTGTTCGTTCTATTTTTCCGGAAGATTATCTCGCACAGATCCTGCTCCTTCTTTCTGCCATTAAAGACCAACATTTCGTTTGCTGCTCCTTCTCAATCTCTATTGGAGTACACCCTTGTTTCATTTGCATATTATCGATAACATCGTGCATTTCGGAAGGAATACGTATAGTTCTTAAGGGGACCTAAAAATTACGTATACTTTGGACGGCTAGTAAAAAAAAAAAAAAGTACATATTTGGTTGACACGAGCTTTTGTGATTTATTTTAACACATTATGAACTATAAGAAGCAACATTAAAAAAAAAAAAAGAGAATTCTTATTATTTACTTTTTTTTACGTTGCCTAACGATGCGCATGATTTCAGCCAAACAGGATTAGTTGCAACAAAAAGACAAGAAAAGTTCACAAGTAAACAATATTCTCTAGGGATCGACGATCCAACATTTTCATTTTTGTGAAAATTATGAAAATAGCAGCTATTTGTCTTTTGATGTATCGAATTTATGCCAAAAATTTCTACGTTTTTTGTTCATATTTTTCAATATTGTTAAAAAAAATATTAGAAATCGTCAATCCCTAATAAATGTTACACTAAAGATACGTACCAAGTTTCACAGTAATCGGTTGGTTAGATTCCCAGATATCTTGCACACCGTTTCTAAAAACCTAGTTTCGAGAGAAACGCGTTCAAAGTTTCAGAACGTCATTTTTCATATGTATCCTTTATTTACTTTTGTTTACTTATACATCGCGGCTCACAGTTCTTACAATTCACAACTAAATTGAATCCAAGTCCCCGTTTCACCAAAAGTAATATTTGAATCGGACGATTTACACTTTATAATACTGCTTAAAGTTGTAAACAGTGATACAAATTCAGTTATTCTGTATCTGTGGCGGATTTATTATTATGCCCCAAAATAAGTCGTTTTAAAGGACCTTTTGTATCTTATTTCTAAGACTTCAAACTACTATTTAAAACAAAAAACAAAAAAATCGATTTTTTGAAAATTTTACACTTTTTCTTCTCTCCCTATTATTTTTCTTTCTCTTCCTTTCTCTTGATTTAGTTAGCTCCATTTTCTTGGAAATTCGAAGTTTATTGGTTGATCGATGGCGTTCGAGCAGAAGAAAAAAGCTATCCTTTACGTGACACTTTTACGTGACACATACGAGATTTAGCGATCGTTAAGTCTGTGGTATGTGCGTGCTTTATGGGCCAAATCGAATGGAGGAAATGATTTCGTTTCACGCATCCTGCATACACATGTGCTGAAATGTCGCTTCTATCGTGGATGAAAGGAAGTATTTCCAGCGATAAATTAAGAAAAACAAATTCAGCGTCAAATTAAGAAGTAATTTTAATCAAGTTACCATCTTGCTCAACCAGTAAGCTCATGAATTTAGAAGTTAAATGATAATTTGTACAACAAATGATAGTGTGTACGTGTTACATTATTTCTTGCTTTTAGTTCGAATAAGCGAATATTTTATCTTCGTCCGCAGCGTTTCTTCCGCGTCTTTAACTTCAAATGGAGCGAGTCGACCGAATATTTTATTTTCGTGGATGTAAAACCTTGGATTTTCTTTACCGAGGGAGTAATAATAATTCACTGAGAGAATTCTGTATCGACCGTGGATAACCTAGATTTTCCTTCGAAAAGGTTTTCTTTTTTCTTTTTTTCTTTTTTTCTTTTTTTCTTTTTTTTTTTTTTTAAGCGATTTCGCTGAATAATGTCCCGAGACGAAACGAGTTGGCATGCGAACATTGTATTACGATCACGGGAACATAATCGTCGACGTGATTCCCGTTGTCGACGATGTCTATCGGTGGAATTTATGGCAGCCACCCTGTTACCCCACTTTCCCTCGAGAAACTCGGTGATTGTAAAATACTGCGACGAAAACGCGGCTTTCTTTGTGTCCCAGCTTGGATAAATAAATTTGAAAGTTGCGAATGGAACAACCTACGAAAAAAAAAAAAAAGAAGAAAAGAAAATACGCGAATTTGTGTATTTCCAACGCGATAATGGAAAAGTTTTGACTCTACGCTACGAAAGTTCCAAACTATGAATTACACAGCGGATATTGTGCCGTGGAGAAAAGGGATTTTGACGCGAGATTTTTATTTTATGAATTCATTGCCACAGGCCATTACGCTGCCGTGTTAACTTTTTACATTAATCGCAGTGAATAGTATTGGGAAAACCTGGTTTTCTCTTGCGAATGATATATCAATAGAATCTATACATTCAAAAATAATGTGCACAGTAGCAATATACAATGTACAGAGGAATTGTACAGTAATAATACAGGCAATATAAAAATTGGAGGATCAAAGAGATTGTGGCAGCTCTGCCATATGAAGAGAACAGATGTAAAATATTTTTTATGGCTTAAAGACTTCAGTGTCTCTTCCTAACGTTGACACATCACTCAACAGCATTCCAGTAATTTGCAAAAGGATATTTTGTAAATGTTCTAATAACATTCCACCATTAAATGCAGATTAAGCACTCGAATTTGTATATTTCTTGTATTATGATTGTATAGCTCACTATTGGAAATTGTTAATGTATCGTTTGTTTTCATAAGGATATCGCCCAAAAATTGCCAACACTTTTTTAATCCACCGTGAAACATATCTTGATAAATATTTAACGTTCTAAAATATTTTCTCTTTGATCTCGGCGCTTTGAGTAACGGCGATAAAAAATAAGGGCTTGGCTATCATCTTAAACACACATACGATAGTTACATATTTATTATATAATACAGTAATGCAGTATTGTGCAATAAAGTATCGTCTATATTTTATAAGAGCTACGAGCGAGATCTTCACGAATTTTATGATTCTTTGTTTCAGAAATTACTGTCGTTCTTCCACCCCAAGTCGACGCGAGTGGACAAATCGGACAACAATAATACAACCAACTCCACGACCAACAACATCCACAACAATATGCCGATACACGAGCCTATCAACGCGACATCTCACGATGTATATCGTACGTACAATTACGTATTTGCATAAAATTGAAATGGGCGCTATTTCACTTAACCACGGGGTGCCTGAAGGCGAATAATAAACGATTCTCTCTTGTTCTTACGGACGTGTCCAAGTGACACTCTTTGTATTCTATCGACAAAGTCAATTGAGCGTGTGCTTGAATATATAGCATCATGCAGTTTATGTGAATTGATTTTTTTTTCTTTTTTATAACGATCTCACCATTTTTTTTTCTTTTTTTTTTTTTTTTACTGTTTTGCGTATGATTTTCCTTTTCAGGTACCCCAAATTATAAATTTATGTGTTTACTTGTAAAACAAAATTATATTTGAGAAGTAAAGATGGAAACCGACTCGATTGTATTCCAAGAAATTTCATTCGCACTTTCTCGACTTGAAAGTGAGCTTCAAGTGTCAAATCATATTAACAATCGTCAAAGTAAAAATGAATTTTTTAGTGTGTCATAAGCTCTGGAACCATAAAGGTTCCAATAGGAACTGAAGCCGGTATCTTTACTTAATTTTGCTACCTATAATTTTGTTCGATGGTTTTCGAGCGATTTATTTTTTTAACAAATAATAAAATAAACTTTAATTTACATCTAGAAGAAACTCGAGAAAGAAAAATATTCAAGTTCGGGAAAACTTGTTAAGAAATATTCATGCATACCAGCTCTGGAGGAATATTTTTTCACAGCTGGAGAAAAAATATTAAATATTAACAATATTAAAAACATTGAATAATCAGTAAACAACATTAAAAATATTAAAAGAGTATTGTCAATTCAAATCGTATGAGTCTACTTTCATTCATCTTGTTGATGTTTTCTTACAAAGGCAAAGACATCTTGATTTAAAATAATTAATTCGTTGTTTTATTATTTATCGCCAAAACATAAATCGTAGACTAGAAATAATTATAAATAATAATAAATTATATAATTAATAATATAGTTATATAATAAATAAATTATATAATTAAATTATAATAAATATATTTATTATATATTAATATAATATAATAAATATAATATATTAATATACTTATTATATATTATATATTAATAATTATATATAATATATTAATATTATAAATAATAATTAATATTAATTAAATTACATTTGTTTTATAAAAACAAAAATACAGCTGGAAGATTGCCAATGACAGCTGCGGAGGCTCTCAAGTATTACGGCTCGAGGCTCACCGAGTTCGAGCGCGCCGAAATCGAAAAGTACTCGGAGATTTGGTATCTCGGGCTGTCGGCTAATAAGATCCGTGGCGAGGAGGGTGCAGCCCAAAACGGTGGATACGACGACGAAAACGGTAGTTACAACAAGGTCTTCCACGATCATATCTCGTACAGGTGCGTTTCTTCTATGGAACTTTCATTTTAATCGCTTAACACCTAATGGACGTTTCATTCTTGCGTCTCGATTTCACGAGTTTATTACTATCCACACGATTCGATCGCTGTTAGGAGCAATAAGCATTTTAATTGGTTGTGCATTGTACTCGTTGATCAAATCGCGAGATATACCGCGCTGAGATTTGAAAAAGCAGCTTTCCAATCTTTAACAACATTTTCTCTTTCGATTGAACATCAGGCCGTTTGAGAATTTCTCATCGACAAAAATTCGCTCACGTTCACGTTCGAATATGGAAATTAAGGAAATGAATGTCACTGTCCATACGAATAAATCTTCCACTTGATCTTTATGTTTTAAATTGCAAGATATATGTCAAAGCGAAGAGAAAAGCTTAAGACGACGCAACTATATCGTCTTCCAAAGTCACGTTCGTAGAACGCCAGTTCTCGTGCTCTCGTTACTTTTGCTTGAATCGGAAGTAGAGTATCGAAGAGCAATCATCCGACGCGAAACGAGATACGCTGCTCGGAAAGAAGCGAATGCACAGCCATAGAAAACTGAATCTACGACTCTACGGTGCAAAGTGCATTTCTGTGCATTCGATCACGATTGAAAAGAATTGATATCATTCGACGAACACCATCCTCTCCGAGATAATACAGTTTATTAATAATTGCGGAAGAAATGGCTTTCGCTTTTACAATTTTCCTTCCTTTTTTTTTTTCTTTTTAATGAAAATCTCATAAATTCAACCATCTGTCATCAAAAAGTTTCTCAGAATAAAAATTGGTGGCAGAACTCTGGCGAAATTTTGAACTTGACAACCAGTAGGACAGGTTTCAAAAACTTTAAATTTGTAACGTTGAATGCACAGCCACAGAAAACTGAATCTACGACTTTACGGTGCAAATGCATTTCTGTGCATTCGATCACGATTGAAAAGAATCGATATTCAACGAACACTGTCCTCTCCGAGATAATACAGTTTATTAATAATTACGGAAGAAATGGATTTCGCTTTTACAATTTTCCTTCCTTTTTTTTTTTCTTTTTAATGAAAAACTCGTAAATTCAACCGTCTGTCATCAAAAAGTTTCTGAGAATAAAAATTGGTGGCAGAACTCTGGCGAAATTTTGAACTTGACAACCAGTAGAACAGGTTTTAAAAACTTTAAATTTGTAACATTGAATGCACAGCCACAGAAAACTGAATCTACGACTTTACGGTGCAAATGCATTTCTGTGCATTCGATCACGATTGAAAAGAATCGATATTCAACGAACACTGTCCTCTCCGAGATAATACAGTTTATTAATAATTACGGAAGAAATGGCTTTCGCTTTTACAATTTTCCTTCCTTTTTTTTTTTCTCTTTTTAATGAAAATCTCGTAAATTCAACCGTCTATCATCAAAAAGTTTCTGAGAATAAAAATTGGTGGCAGAACTCTGGCGAAATTTTGAACTTGACAACCAGTAGGACAGGACATTTTTTTTAAAAACTTTAAATTTGTAACGTTGAATGGAGAATTCGTAAGGAAGGCAAATAATCGATGATTCTCTGTTCAGATACGAGATACTGGAGGTGATCGGGAAAGGAAGCTTCGGGCAAGTGATCAGAGCGTTGGATCACAAGACGGGACAGTACATCGCCATCAAGATCATCAGGTGAGCGAACGGTCTGAACGTGATCTCCTCCCCGTTCGGTGAATCATTCTACATTATATTACCATACGAATCTCGCGTTTCGCGACGCGATGACTGGCTCGCCTTTATCGTCCGCTTCCCATTCACGCGGTTTATCCGGTTTTCTTCCCCGGCATTAAAACGTCGCGTCATGCTATCGCGTGTGTGCTTTTTGCAGGAACAAAAAGAGGTTCCATCACCAGGCGCTCGTCGAAGTGGAGATCTTGGAACACCTGAGGAAGAAAGACTTGGAGGCGAACGCTTCGCACAATGTGATACACATGCTAGAATACTTCTACTTTAGGAACCATTTGTGCATCACCTTTGAGTTAATGAGGTACTTCGTTCTTCGCTTTAATCTTCTCTTCTCTTTTTTTCCTTCTCGGATAATGTTCTAACGCCGAAAGCTAGCAAAGTGTAGAAATCGTTGTGAAAGGTACATAAGAAAGTATGTACGACGAGAGAAGGAGAGAGGCAAAGATTTTTACGCTGTACGTTCTTCCACGAAAATCTCTTTCGTGGGTTCTGTAAATCTGGAAATAATTCTACACCCTGATGGACGACGTTTTTTCCGTTTTTTCGTTGCAGTTTGAATTTGTACGAGCTAATCAAAAAGAATAACTATAAGGGATTTAGCCTGAGCCTAATACGACGATTCGCCAACTCGTTAGTTAGCTGTCTGAAACTGCTGTATCGAGAGAAGATCATCCACTGCGATCTGAAACCCGTAAGTGTTCAATCATTCTCCCCGAGAAACAGAGGTAATTCCTTTTTACTTTCACAAACAGTCTGTTACGATCGAACGTTTACGCGAAACCGAAGAAAGCGTTTTTTCCCGTTTGTTCAGTCAGCGAAAGCTACGAGCTAAGCCACTAATCGACGCGTTCATGAACTGACTGACTGACGTCGAAAGTAAATAGTGATGTAAACAGCGAAGAATGCAAGGGGTTAATAGGAGCGGAGAGATCCTCTCTCCCCCGGTGCCTAACGTCATTCTCTAATCCATCGTTCTTGCTCGTTGCAGGAGAACGTGCTTTTGAAACAGCGGGGAAGCAGCTCGATCAAGGTGATAGATTTCGGATCATCGTGTTACAGCCACCAGCGTGTATATACGTACCTCCAGTCGAGGTTCTATCGAAGTCCAGAGGTAATTCTGGGCCTTCCGTATGGCACGCCGATCGATATGTGGAGTTTAGGCTGTATCCTGGCCGAACTTTACACCGGCTGCCCGTTATTCCCCGGCGAGGATGAGATCGAACAGCTCGCTTGCATCATGGAAGTTCTCGGCCTCCCGCCGGAACATATTATCGATCACGCGACTCGTCGCAGGCTTTTCTTCGGTAAGTAGAAGCTTGAATAGTAGAAACCAGAATTCTTGCGTTGAATATCAGTCGTACGTCATTGAGAAAGTTGATGAATTATGAAGAATGTTTGGGACACGGGGTAGGGATCGGGTAATTGTACAGTTAAAATCGAAAGGATCGCTTTCAGATCCGAAGGGAAGTCCTCGATGCGTGACAAACAGCAAGGGCAAGAAGAGGTGGGCTGGTAGTAGGAATCTTGCCGTGGCTCTCCGTTGCACCGACGCGCTTTTCGTCGACTTTGTTCGCAGATGCCTCGAGTAAGTTTCTCTTTCATCATTCTTCCGATTAAAAATATATCGTTTGAGAAATATTAAACAACTGACGAACAAGAAAAAGAATATTTGCTGGACTTGCGCCGATTCATTCTGCTTCGTTAAAACCTTCCGCCTGCTGTGCCGGAGTCACAGTTTTGAGTCGGGTGTTACTCTGTACAGTATCGGTGAGCCATCCGAACGACTCTAAATATGTATATTAGTGGGATATCCGTGTGAGTCAGAAATGACTCCAGCACTGGACGCTGAGGTTCAGTAGTCGGAGAGTTAAGATTAAGAAAAGACAAGTTCCTCCGTTCTAAAGGACCGACACAGAATGTTATCTGAATACGCGATGTATCCAAGTCCGTTAATCCGTTCGAAACGTCTCTAACGAAAGCGTAAACTCCTCTTTCTTTCCGGCAGGTGGGATCCAAAGAAGCGCATGACCCCCGACGAGGCGATGCGTCACGAGTGGCTGAACTCGTCCTCCTTTCACGTTGGCTCCTCGACGTCGACGATAGCCGCGTCGACGGTGAACGCGAACACGAACGCGAACGCGAACACAACGAGCATGGAAACGTCGTCGCAGTCCGCCCACGCTCAAACGGTGAGCGTGACGGTGAGCGCGCCGAGGCAACGGGCAACCACCGTCGAGGATCCTCCGTACGCGATGTACCGTCTGTGCAAAGGGCGTAAGTACGTGCAGAGGATCAGCACGACCGAGAACACCGACAACGCTGGCCTCGTGGTGAAGAGCAAGCTGAACGGAAGCGCCAGCAGCCACGCGCTCGCCAGTAGCACGCAGACCACTACCTCGAGGCACGCCTCGACCGGCGATATCGTCGCGAGTCTGGACCCAAATCTCGACGATTCCGGTACGTTTTTACCGCCGATATTGTGAAATCGGTTTTGCGCTACCCACTTCTAAATGACATGCTTACGCGCGTCGTACCGTGTCGCGATCGTACAGCACACTCGCTCTCCGATCTACACCGAGATGACACACGATACGAAAAAAAAAAAAAAAAAACGATCGTTTTATACACAATTATAAGGAATACGACAGGCGTATATTGATCTTTCTTTTTTCTTTTTCTGTTTTTTTTTTNTTTTTTTTCTTTTTTTTTTTCTCTCAATCAGAGCGAACAACAGGTTGGAAGATCGATTTGGTCACGACAATAAAAAGCAAACCACGTACACATACACAAACGCATACTCGATCGTGCGACCGGTTAAGACCAAACTAATATACAGTTCATAAATCCGTTTAAATGACGACGATGACTCTCTCGTGAAGACACGATCGTCTCAATATTCGCGAGCAGCGAGTATCGATATCCGGTGTGCTCGAAGAGTGAGAGAAACGAACCATTGGGACGATACACACACACGACATCGAGGCACACCAAGAGTTGGCTGGCTGTGGATCTGGCCCCCGGATCGTTGCCGACGCCAAAAGACTAGTCTGGCGTTCTCTCGCTAGTCTCTCGGCGCTAAGAAGTCAAAACAAATGGGACGACGAGGTGCGCGTGTGACGCGAACAACGAGCAGCACGACTTTTGATTATAAAAAGAAAAAAAGAAAAAAAAAAAAAACGAAGAACGCGGTTGTTTCGGTTCGTTTCGGTTCGTTTCAAGCGCGACCGATGAAAATTTTTCTTTCAAAAGAGGAAGAAAAAAGGAATAAATGAAAAATTTGATCCCAGCAGTCCCAACGTCACTCAGGTAATATCGTTAAACAACGCGCGTGCACCGATATCGTTAGAAGTCGATCGGAAAGTAGAGTTTCGTTCCTTCGACCCCTTGTTCATCCCTTTATCCTCCAAGTGTTTGAGCGAGAAATTTTACTACTCTAGCCGATGGGACAATGTGTTTCTTTGCGAATCGCGAATCGAGGGAAGAGAGAGAGGTTACGTTTAGTAACAATGCGCGTGCTTCTTCCAGCGATAACGATCATCGGGGGCGCGTTGTTCATCGATCGATAGGGATCTCCTATCGACGTGAACGACGCGCTTCTCATTCGCACAGTTATTACCCTGTGTTAAAAATAAAAAGAAAAAAATTAAAAAAAGCGAGATGCATAGGAAAAATCGTATAATATAATTCATCGCGATTAATTAGTTAACGATTGTAAGGAAATACGTTCGATTCGCAATCGACGAGCGCAAATTAATGTTACGGTTACTATATATATACATATATATATAAATATATACATATATGTATACTATATGTATACGAAGAGATATGTAGAGAACAGCGAGAGAAAGGGTGAATGCGTTTTTTTGACAACGAGATCACCGCGCGATACGAAACTTTTCTCAACGAGCACTATATCCCAGTATCGAGTCGCGGTTAAAACGTAAACAAGGAAGTTTAAACGAAAAAAGGGGGGGGGAGAAAGAAGATAAATAGAATCTGAGTCGTCTGAAACCCCGTGACAACAGGGTCGTACCGATTAATAATGAAACGTCAAGGCAAACCTCGGTGAGAAAGGGAGGAGAGAGTGCGTGCGAGAGAGAGAGAGAGAGAGAGAGAGAGAGAGAGAGAGAGAGAGAGAGGCGAAACGCCTGAAAAAATGAAACATGTGCCCCAGTTTCAACGAGGCCTGAGTAGTCTTATTGTGATATTAATCTACCACTGTCTTTTACGTAGATCTCTGATATTAAGAAGTAAACGATCGCTATAATTAACGATTATCTTTTTTTTTTTTTTCTTCATTCTTTACTATCAATCATTATTTTCTTAATATTGATTTATCGCTCTCGCTACTATCGCAAGATTATATAATTACATTAACGAAGTTATCCAATGAATAATAACATGCAGAGAGATAACATTATTATTATTATTATTATTATTAATATTATTATTATTATTATTATTAATTATTATTATTGTTGTTATCATAAGGGTTGTACAGACATAATTGAGCATTCGGAATCCAGCGGTTCAGAGCCACGCATCCACTTTTCCTTCAACTTTCATTCTTTCTTTCGTTCTTTTTTCTACAACAGGAGAAATGCACGTCTTCAAAGAAAACACAGTCCCCGGACACTTGGAAAATTCTTCACCGCCAATTGCTCTCCCCGATGTTTGACCGCAGTTATTAGCGCAGTTATCATTAAATTAGTACGTCGTATCTCTTCTCTTTTCTGTTAACCGCTTTAACTTCTCACTGTTTATCATTGTGTTCTCACTGTTTTGTTAGCGAATTTTTCTTTTTCTTTTTTTTTTTTTTTTTT